CAGAGTGGTGTTGGTGGTGTTGGGTCAAGAGAGTGGTGGTGGTGCTAGTGGTGGTGTTGGGTCAAGAGAGTGTGGTGGTGGTGGTGGTGGTGGTGGTGGTGGGTCAAGAGAGTGGTGGTGGTGGTGTTGGATCAAGAGAGTGGTGGTGGTGCTAGTGGTGGTGTTGGATCAAGAGAGTGGTGGTGGTGGTGGGTGGGTGGGGTCAAGAGAGTGGTGGTGGTGGTGGTGGTGTTAACAAGAGAGTGGTGGTGGTGGTGGTGTTGAATGCAGAGGGTGGTGGTGGTGGTGGTGTTGATCAAGAGTGGTGGTGGTGCTAGTGGTGGTGTTGGGTCAAGAGAGTGGTGGTGGTGGTGGTGGTGGTGTTGGACTAAGAGTGGTGGTGGTGGTGGTGGTGGTGGTGGTGGTGGTGGTGGTGGATCAAGAGGGAGTGGTGGTGGTGGTGGTGGTGGCAAGCAATGGGATGGTGGTGGTGGTGGTGGTAAAAGGCGGAGAGTGGTGGTGGGAGTGGTGGTGTTGGGTCAAGAGAGTGGTGGTGGTGGTGGTGGTGCTGGGATCAAGAGAGTGGTGGTGGTGGGAGTGGTGGAGCAAGAGAGTGGTGGTGGTGCTAGTGGTGGTGTTGATCAAGAGAGTGGTGGTGGTGCTAGTGGTGGTGTTAACAAGATAGTGGTGGTGGTGGCAGGGTGTTAAATGGCGAGAGTGGTGGTGGGTAGTGGTGGTGTTACCAAGAGAGTGGTGGTGGTGCTAGTGGTGTGTTGGATCAAGAGAGTGGTGGTGGTGGTAGTGGTGGTGTTGGGTCAAAGAGTGGTGGTGGTGCTAGTGGTGGCAATAAGAGAGTGGTGGTGGTGGTAGTGTGGTGGATCAAGAGAGTGGTGGTGGTGTGGTGGTGCTGGGATCAAGAGAGTGGTGGTGTAGTGGTGGTGCTGGGTCAAGAGAGTGGTGGTGGTGCTAGTGGTGGTGTTGGGTCAAGAGAGTGGTGGGTGCTAGGTGGTGGGTGTGCTGGGATCAAGAGAGTGGTGGTGGTGGTGGTGGTGGCGGTGGTGGTGGTGTTGGCCAAGAGGTGGTGGCGCTAGTGGTGGTGAATGAAGAGAGTTGTGGTGGTGGTGGTAGTGGCATCAAGAGAGTGGTGGTGGTGCTGGTAGTGGTGTGCTGGATCAAGAGAGGTGGTGGTGGTGTTGGGTCAAGAGAGTGGTGGTGGTGCTAGTGGTGGTGTTGGGTCAAGAGAGTGGTGGTGGTGGTGGTGGTGGTGTTGGGTCAAGAGAGTGTGGTGGTGTGACCGGGAGAGAGTGGTGGGTGGTGGATCAAGAGAGTGGTGGTGGTGCTAGTGGTGGTGCGATCAAAAGAGTGGTGTGGTAGTGGTGCGATCAAGAGAGTGGTGGTGTCAGTGGTGGGGGCAATCAAGAGAGTGGTGGTGGTAGTGGTGCGATCAAGAGAGTGGTGGTGGTGCAGGTGGTGGTGTTGGGTCGGTAGATGGTGGTGGGTGGTGGTAAAGCGATCAAGAGAGTGGTGGTGGTGCTATTGGTGGCAAGAGAGTGGTGGTGGTGGTGGTGGTGGTGGTAGTGGTGTGCTCAAGAGTTATACTTCACTGTTCTTAAAGGATGCGTCAGTATACTGAGGAGGTCCAGTAGTCGTGTTAACTCACCCGTTGTTGTATTGACTGAGTGGGACGATGTCTGTGTGACGTCATTATCCTGATGACCACTCACTGTTGTTTCAAGGAATAAATTATACGGTGTAATGTTGTATTTAAGCGGTACACAACATTATATTTCTAAACGCACATCTAAAGCTTGCACACAATGTATTCTTTGTTTATAAACCATGAGGAAAATAGGTGCTAAGCCTAAGCTGGACATGGCAGTAATGTACCTGAGGAAACAATGTTCATCAGCTTATAAAGTTTGTAAATGCTTGGAGGGCTGACACGGAGGGGCAGTCACAGCTGCCAAGAATGCAGAGACGCTGCGAAAGCTCAGTAACATCCCGCGAACTTGTATGGGCATAAATTTCAACTCAGAAGATAAACGCGAGGTCGGGAAGAAGATCACTGCGGTACTGACACGCACATCACACTCCAGTTAGCTAGCATTGCACACTTAAATCAGGTATACTTCACTTGGACACAGACATGGGTGTGGTACTGCCGTGGGTTTTGCGATGGGTCAAAAATGCGAGGCTTATCATGTGTTTTGTACTTCTGGAGTTATGGGACTTATGTGAAATGTTTTTCTTCAAGTTATCTTAATATAGAACAGACTATCGTGTCGTGTGATTTAGTAACGACACAGTCTCGTGAGGTCCGTTAAAATATGTGTACATATTCGAGAGTTGCATTCAAGACAATTAAATGTTTAAGGTCAGGCGGCCAGACGTTCACACACTCATCCGGAAGGCAGACAACGTCATGCGGTACACGTTCTGTTTCCATTGAGCGAGTGAAAAATTAACACAAATTAACATAACCATGATATATTTCAAGAATTTTTAAAGTATATATATACAAGAGAAATACACCATTTACTATAAAAATAAAATAATTATAAGACACAAGTTGCAGGGAGAAAATGACTAGATGGGAATGAGGAAAAAGGTAGGAGAGACGTTTTCCTGAGACAAAGGCAGCGTGTTTTAACATGGTTTACTTAAGTATTTCAGAGAAATGGGAGGGTCACTGAATGGACGTCATTGCACAAAGGTATAAGTTTCAGAGGCCTGGTAGTAAGTGTGTTACCAAGAAGAAAGATAACATGTTAGCAGAAATAATGGGCATGGCAGGAGAAGGCTTTCACCAACCTGCCAAGCCAAGTCATACTGGTACTGTAAGAGGGCGCCGAAGGTCGTCATAAGGAAGAAATACCATTAACACGGAAAATAAGAAAGCAGGACATCTGCGACTGGTGATTAACAGGTTTAAGACAACAACTATGATGAAACACAAACATACCAAGCATATTTACTATGGACATGTGTGGTGTACAGAAACACACACACACACACACACACACACACACACAAACAGTACATATACCAAAAGATAGATGTGTTAGATAAACAAGAGCATTGTGGCAATATATTGCATATGACATTTTGCAGCCAACATTTTTTTCGATCAAAATATGAAAAAGAACACAAAAATATGGTCATGTGGTCTGCATGGAGGGTGGGTGAAGATGGTGGGTGCGTGAAGACGCGAGGGTGTGTGGGGTGATGGATGCGTGAAGGTGGGTGGGTGTGAAGGTGGGTGGGTGTGTGAAGGTGGGTGGATGTGTGAAGGCGGGTTTGTGGATGTGGGTGGTGAAGGTGATGGATGCGTGAAGGTGGGTGGGTGTGAAGGTGGGTGGGTGTGGAGGTGGGTGGATGTGTGGTGGGCGGTTTCAGAAGGTGGGTGGTGAAGGTGATTGGGTGAAGACGGGCAGATGTGTGAAGGCAGGTGGACGTGTGAAGGTGGGTGGGTGCGAAGACGCGAGGGTGTGGATGGGATGGACGCGGATGCGGGTGGGTGTGAAGGGGTGGGTGTGAAGGTGGTGGACGGGTGCGGGCGGGTTTGTGAAGGTGGTGGGTGTGTGAAGGTGGACGGATGCGAAGGTGGGTGGGGGTGAGGGTGGGTGGTGGAGGTGGTGGTGTGTGAAGGTGGGCGGTTTGGTGAAGGTGGGTGGGTGTGTGAAGGTGATTGCGTGTGAAGATGGGTGATGGTGCAGGTGGACGTGGGTGGGTGGTGAAGATGGGTGCGTGTGTGAAGGTGGGGTTGCGGGTGATGTGTGAAGGTGGGTGGATGCGAATGAGTGGATATGTGAAGGTGGGTGACGGTGAAGGTGGGTGGGTGGTGAAGGAGGGTGGATGTGTGAAGGTGAGTGGATATGTGAAGGTGGGTGGGTGTGGATGTGAATGCGACGGGTGTGAAGATGGTAGATGTGAAGATGGGCGGGTGAAGGTGGGTGGAGCGTGAAGGTGGCGGTGCGTGAAGACGGGGGGTGTGTGAAGGTGGGTGGGTGCGAAGGTGGGTGGATGTGCGAAGGTGAGTGGATATGCGAAGGTGGGTGGACGTGTGAAGGTGGGCGGGTGTGTGAAGTGCGGGATGACGTGTGAAGACGGGTGCGTGTGTGGATGCGGGTGGGTGAAGATGGTGGGCGTGAAGGTGGGTGAAGGGTGGCGTGTGAAGATGGGTGCGTGTGTGAAGCTGCGGGTGGGTGCGAAGATGGGTGGGTGTGGATGCGGGTGGATGTGAAGACGGGTGGCGCGTGTGAAGGTGGGTGGGTGTGAAGATGGGCAGATGTATGAATAGGTGGGTGTGAAGATGGGTGGTGTGTGAAGGTGGGTGGATGTGCGGGATGCGGTGGTGTGAAGGTGATGTGTGAAGATGGGCGGGTGTGTGAAGATGGCTGGACGATGAAGGTGGTGGGTGTGAAGATGGGTGCGTGTGAAGGTGGACGTGAAGGTGGGTGGGTGTGTAAAGACGGGTGGTGTGTGAAGGGTGCGGTGATGACGCGGGTGTGAATGCGGGTGGACGTGTGAAGACGGGTGACGCATTGGGGTGGACGTGTGGTTGCGGTGGGTGTGTGAAGATGGGTGAAGTGGACGTGTGAAGACGGACGCGTGTGCAGGGTGTGAAGATGGGTGAACGTTGGTGACGCATGCGCGGTGTGAAGACGGGTGAAGCGGTGGATGTGTGAAGGGTGGGTGAAGACGGGTGACGTGAAGGTGGGTGGGTGGCAAAGACGGCGCGTGTGTGAAGGTGGCGTGAAGATGGGTGGTGTGAAGGTGGGCAGACGTGTGAAGACGGCAGATGCAGCGGTGGGTGCGTGAATGTGGGTGGACGTGTGAATGTGGGTGGGTGAAGACGGTGGGTGTGAATTGCGGTGGGTGAATAGTGGTGACGTGAAGGTGGGTGGCTCCGCAAAACGGCGCGCGGCGACGCGGCGACGTGAATGGGCGTGACGCAATGGTGCGGCGTGGGCATCAACGGGTGCGTGGGAACAGGTGGTGTAAAGGTGGGGGGGATGTGATCAAGGTGGGCGGGTGTGGTGAAGATGGTTGCGGTGAAGGTGGGTGGGCGTGAAGATGGGCAGATGAATGCGGGTGGACGTGAAGGGTGACGTATGAAGGCGGGTGGGTGAAGACGGCGCGTGAAGGTGGGTGGGCGGTGAAGGTGGGTGACGTACGAAGCGTGGTGTGCGTGTGAAGATGGCGTGAAGGTGGGTGGACGTGCGAAGTGCGGGGTGTGAAGGTGGACGGTGAAGGTGGGTGGGCATGTGGGCTCGGGTGGGGGTGTGAAGATGCGTGTGAAGGTGGTGGACGTGTGAAGGTGGCAGACGTGAAGGTGGCAGGACGTGAAGGTAAGCGGTGCGTGAAGACGGACGGCGTGTGAAGACGGCGCGTGTGTGGCGGGTGGGTGGATGTGAATGGGTGGGTGTGAAGACGGGTGGGCGTGTGATGGTGGGGCGGACGTGAAGGTGGCGGGTGTGTGAAGACGGGTGGACGTGAATGGCGGCTGCGGAGATGGGTGACGTGTGAAGGTGGGCGGGTGTAAAGGTGGTGGGTGCGGTTGCGGGTGCGTGAAGCTGCGGGTGGCGTGAAGACGGCGCGTGTGAAGGTGGGTGGGTGCGGAAGATGGGTGGGTGTGAAGGTGGGTAGACGTGAAGACGGGCAGACGTGAAGGGTGTGAAGGTGGGTGACGTGAAGGTGGGGCGTGAAGACGGTTGGCGTGGTGCGGTGGACGTGGAAGCAGGCGGGCTTGTGAAGACGGCGCGTGAATATGGGTGACGTGTGAAGGTGGGTGACGTGAAGGTGGTGGAGGCGAAGGTGGGTGGTTTCGGGACGATGGGTGCGCGTGAAGGTGATGAGTGTGTGATTGTGGCTGGCGTGAAGATGGGTGGAGTGCGAAGTGGGTGGGTTTGGCGAAGATGGTGGTGTGTGAAGGTGGGTGGGGTGTGTGAAGTTAGGTGGTTGTATGAAGGTGGGTGAGTGCGTGAAGGTGGGTCGTGTGTAGGTGGGTTGGTGGTGAAGGTGGGTGGATGTGAAGGGTGGGTGTGTGAAGGTGGGTGGATGTGTGAAGGTGGGTGGATGTGCGGAGAAGCTGGTGGTGTGTGAAGATGGGTGGGTGTGTGAAGGTGGGACGGTGAAGGTGGATGGGTGAATGTGATGAGTGAGACGTGAAGAGGGTGGAGGGTGAAGGTGGGTGGTGTGTGAAGTCGGTGGTTGGGTGTGAAGGTGGGTGCGTGTGGGTGAAGGTGATCGGTGTGTGGAGGTGGGTGGGGTGAAGATGGGTGCGTGTGAAGGTGGGTGGGGTGTGAAGGTGAATGACGTGTGAAGGTGGGTAAGGGTGAAGATGGGTGGATGATGGGTGGGTGTGTGAAGGTGGTGGATGTGAAGGTGGGTGGTGGAAGATGGGTGGATGTGTGAATGGGTGGGTGAAGGTGGGTGGATGTGAAGGTATGGATGAAGGTGGGTGGTTGTGTGAAGGTGGGTAAGTGTGTGAAGATGGGTGACGTGAAGATGGGTGGGTGTGTAGTGCGGGTGGACGTGGAAGGTGACGGACGTGAAGGTGGGTGTAAGAAGATGGCGGGTGAAGGTGGGTAGATGGGTGAAGATGGGCAGGAGGTGAATGCGGTGGGCATGCGTGAAGTGCGGGTGGACGTGAAGGTGGGTGGGTTTGTGAAGATGGGTGTGTGAAGGTGGGTGGATGTGTGAAGGTGGGTGGATGTGTGAAGGTGGGGATGTATGAAGCTGGTGGGTGGGTGTGTGACGATGGGTGCGTGTGTGATGGTGGGTGGGTGTGAAGGTGGGGATGTGTCAAGGTGGGTGGGTGAAGATGGTGGACGTATGAAGGTGGGTGGGGTGTGAAGATGGGTGGGTGAGTGAAGATGGTAGATGTGTGAAGGTGGGTGGGTGAAGGTGGGTGGGTGTGTGAATGCGGATGGACGTGTGAAGGTGGGGTGTGTGAGTGGGTGGACGTGTGAAGGTGGGTGGACGTGAAAGTGGGGTGGATGCGGAAGGGTGGGTGTGCAATGTGATGACGTAATGCGGGTGGGTGCGAACACGGGGGGCGTGCGAATGCGGGCGTGCGTGCGAACAGGGCGCGCAGCGCTGGGACGTGAATGCGGGTGGGGCGTGAAGACGGCTGGGCGCGAATGCGTGGGTGGCGGGCGAAGAGGGCAGACGTGCGAATGCGGCGGCGTGGAAGACGGCGGACGGCATGAACTGCGGTGGGCGTGCGAAGACGGGCAGTGGAGCGAAGACGGCAGATGTGCGGAAATGGTGGGTGGCGCATGAAGTGCGGGTGGGCGTGAAGGTGACGGACGTGCGAATGCGGGCGGGTGCGGCGCGGGCGGATCGTGCGAAGTCGCGGCGGACGTGCGAGCAAGGACGTGAAGCTGCGGCGGGCGTGCGAATGCGGATGATGCGGATGCGGCGGGCAAGAACAGGCGGCGAATGCGGGCGTGCGAATGCGGGCGGGCGTGCAAATGGGGGACGTCGGCTGCGGTGGGTGTGAAGAATCATGCGTGAATGCGGTGGGTGTGAAGACGGCAGACGCACGAATGCGGTGGACGTGAAGAGGGTGATGTACGAATGCGGGTGGGTGCGGTGAAGACGGCGCGCGTGAATGCGGGTGGGCGTGATGCGGGTGGACGCGATGCGGTGAAGATGGCGGGCGAATGCGGGTGGACGTACGCGGTGGGGATAATGCGGAGGCGTGCAATGCGGGGGACGTGCGGTTGCGGGAGGTGCGTGACGACGGCGCGTGATGGTGGCGGGCGTGGGTGGGGGACGTGGCCGCTGCGGTGGGTGTGTGAAGACGGTGACGTACGTAGCTGCGGGTGGGTGCGAATGCGGGTGGGTGAGCGAAGACGGGGTAGACGTGAAGGTGGGTGGGTGATGCGGTGGGTGTGTGAAGGTGATGGATTGTGGATGCGGGTGGACGTGTGAAGGTGTGGACGATGAAAGCGTGGTGCAGACAACGGCGCGTGTGAAGGTGGTGGTGCAGCTGCGGGGATGGCCAGGTGGGTGGCGTGTGAAGACGGTTGCGTGTGAAGGTGGGTGGGTGAAGCACGGCAGACGCATGAACTGCGGGTGGATGCGAAGGTGGGTGGATGCATGAATGCGGGTGGTGTGTGAAGAGGCGCGTGTGTGAAGGTGGTGGTGTGAAGGTGGGTGACGTACGAATGCGGGTGGGTGTGAAGACGGTGGCGTGTGAATGCGGGTGGACGCACGAATGCGGGCGGGTGAATGCGACGGGCGCGTGAATGCGGCGGGCGTGAGAATGCGGGTGGGGGGGCGTGAAGACGGGCGCGTGCGGTCGCGGGCGGACGTGAATGCGGCGGACGCGAATGCGGGTGGACGTGCGAATGCGGCAGGTGCAGAAGACGGACGGTGCGTAATGACGGCGCGGTGAATGCGGCGGACGTGTGAAGGTGGGTGGTGAAGACGGTGGCGTGTGATGCGGGTGGACGTGAAGCGGTGGGTGTGCGAAGACGGTGATGCGGAAGGTGGCATGGGTGAAGATGGCGGACGTGAAGGCGGGTGGGCGTGCAATGCGGGCGGGCGTGCGTGAATGCGGCGCGTGAATGCGGGTGGCGTGCGAAGACGGGCGCGCGTGTGAAGGTGCGGGCGGTGAAGACGGGTGGCGTGAAGGCGGGAGATGTGAAGATGGGCAGATGCGGATGCGGTGGGTATGTGAAGGTGGGTGGATGTGTGGAGGTGGGTGGGTGTGTGGGGTTGGGTGGATGTGTGAGAGGTGGATGGGTGTGTGAAGGGTGGGTGGGTGTGTGGGGTGGGTGGGTGTGTGAAGGTGGGTGGGTGCTGTGAGTGGGTGGGTGTGTGGAAGGTGGGTGGTGTGTGAGGTGGGTGGATGTGTGAGGGTGGGTGGGTGTGTGAGAGGTGTGTGATGTGTGAAGGTGGAGTGGGTGTGTGAAGGTGGGTGGGTGTGTGAAGGTGGATGGGTGTGTGAAAGGTGGGGTTGGTGTTGGAAGTGGGTGCAGGTGTGTGTGAAGGTGGGGTGTGAAGGTGGGTGGATGTGTGAAGGTGGGTGGGTGTGTGAAGGTGGGTGGATGTGTGAAGGTGGGTGGGTGTGTGAAGGTGGGTGGGTGTGTGTGAAGGTGGATGGGTGTGTGAAGGTGGGTGGTGTGTGTGACAGTGGGTGGGTGTGTGTGAAGGTGGGTGGATGTGTGAGAAGGTGGGTGGATGTGTGGAAGGTGGGTGGTGTGTGTGGGGACATGTGTGTGGGGTGGATGGGTGTGTGTGGAGAGGGTGGGTGTGTAAAGGTGGGTGTGTGTGTGAAGGTGGGTGGGTGTGTGAGAGTGGGTGGATGTCGAAGGTGGGTGGGTGTGTGAAGGTGGGTGGGTGTGTGAAGGTGGGTGGGTGTGTGAAAGGTGGGTTGGTGTGTAAGGTGGGTGGGTGTGTGGGGTGGGTGGGTGTGTGTGAGAGGTGGGTTGGTGTGTGTGGAAGGTTGGGTGGGTGTGTGAAGGTGGGTGGGTGTGTGAGGTTGGGTGGTGGTGTGAAGGTGGGTGGATGTGATGGAGGTGGGTGGGAGTGTGAAGGGTTTGTGGATGTGAGGTGGATGGGTGTGTGTGAAGGTGGGTGGGTGTCTGTGTGGGTGGGTGTGTGGAAGGTGGGTGGAGTGTGAAGGTGGGTGGATGTGTGTGAGGTGGGTGGGTGTGGAGTGGGTGGGTGTGTGTGGTGGGTGGGTGTGTGAAGAGGTTGGATTGAGTGGGTGGGTGTGTGAAGGTGGGTGGATGTGAAGGTGGGTGGATGTGTGAAGGTGGGTGGGTGTGTGAGGTGGGTGGATGTGTGTGAAGGTGGATGGGTGTGTGTGAAGGTGGGTGGGTGTGTGAAAGGTGGGTGGATGTGTGAAGGTGGTGGGGTGTGTGTGTGAAAGGTGGGTGGGTGTGTGAAGGTGGGTGGGTTCTGAGGTGGGTGGGTGTGGCAGAGGGTGAGGTGGAGGTGGGTGTGTGAAGGTGGGTTGGTGTCTAAAGGTGGGTGGGTGTGTGAGGTGGGTGGGGATGTGTGAAGGTGGGTGGATGTGTGAAGGTGGGTGGGTGAGAGGGTTGTGTGTGTGGATGTGTGAAGGTGGGTGGGTGTGTGAAGGTGGGTGGCATGTGAAAGGTAGGTTGGTGTGTGAAGGTGGGTGGGTGTGTGAGGTGGGTGGATGTGTGAAGGTGGGTGGGTGTGTGAGAGGTGGGTGGGTGTGTGAAGGTGGGTGGGTGTGTGAAGGTGGGTTGGTGTGTGAAGGTGGGTGGGTGTGTGAAGGTGGGTGGGTGTGTGTGTGGGGTGGGTTGAGTGTGTGAGAAGGTGGGTGGATGTGTGAAGGTGGTGGATGTGTGGGTGGATGTATGAAAGTGGGTGGGTGTGTGACAATGGGTGCGTGTGTGAAAGGTGGGTGGGTGTGTAAGGTGGGGATTTGTCAAGGTGGGTGGGTGTGTAGATGGGTGGAGTGTGTGAAGGTGGGTGGGTGTGAAAGATAATAAGTGGGTGATGTGAAGGTGGGTGGATGATGAAGGTGGGTGGGTGTGTGAAGATGGGTGGGTGTGTGAAAGGTGGGTGGGTGTGTGAAGGTGGGTGGATGTATGAAGGTGGGTGGGTGTGTGAAGATGGGTGGTGTGTGAAGGTGGGTGGATGTGTGAAAGGTGGGTGGGTGTGGTGGATGGGTGTGTGAAGGTGGGTGGGTGTGTGAAGGTGGGTGGGGTGTGAAAGATGGGTGCGTGTGGGGTGGGTGGGTGGTAAATGTGAGTGGGTGATGTGAAGGTGGGTAGATGTGTGAAAAGATGGAGTGTGAAAGGGTGCGTGTGGGAAGGTGGGTGGGGATGTGAGAAGGTGGGTGGGTGTGAAAGATGGGTGGGTGTGTGATGGTGGGTGGAGTGTGTGAAGGTGGGTGGAGTGTGTGAAAGATGGGTGGATGTGAAAGGTGGGTTGTGGGTGGAGATGGTGGATGTGTGAAGGTGGGTGGGTGTGTAAGGTGGGTGGGTGTGAAAGGTGGGTGCGTGTGTGAAGGTGGGTGGGTGTGAAAGATGGGTGGATGTGTGAAGGTGGTGGATGTGAAAGATGGGTGGGTGTGTGAAAGGTGGGTAGATATGAATGGGTAGATGTGGGAGTGGGTAGGTATGAGGTGGTGGATGTAAAGGTGGGTGGAGTGTGAAAGATGGTTGGGTGTGTGAAAGGTGGGTGGTGGTGTGTGAAGGTGGGTGGAGTTTGTGAGATGGGTGCGTGTGGAAGGTGGGTGGGTGTGTGAAGGTGGGTGGATGTGTGAAGGTGGGTGGATGTGTGAAGGTGGGTGGGTTTGTGACGTGGGTGCGTGTGAGAAGGTGGATGGATGTGTGAGTGGGTGGGTGAAGTGGTGATGTGTGAAAGGTGGGTGGAGTTTATGAAAGATGGGTGGGTGTGAAAGGTAGGTGGGTGTGAGTAAAATGGTTTTGGGTGGGGTGTGGATGTGTGGAGTGGGTTGGTGTGTGAAAGGTGGGTGGATGTGAGAAGGTGGAGTGTGTGAAGGGTGGGTGGATGTGTGAAGGTTGGATGTGTGAAGTTGGTGGGTGTGTGAAGGTGGAGTGGGTGTGTGAAAGAGTAGGTGGATGTGTGAAGGTGGATGGGTGTGTGATAGTGGATGGGTGTGTGGTGTGGGTAGGTGTGAAATGGGTGGATGTGAAAGGTGGGTGGGTGTGAGACAGGTAGTGTATGAAGTGGGTGCGTGTAAGGTGGATGGTGTGTGGAAGGTGGGTGGGTGTGGGTGCGTGTGTGAAGGTGGGTGGGTGTGTGGAGTGGGTGGATGTGTGAAAGGTAAGTGTGTGAATGGTGGATGCGTGAAAGATGGGTGGGTGTGTGAAGGTGGGTGGGTGTGTGAAGGGTGGTGGATGTGTGGGGTGGATGGATGTGTGAAGGTGGGTGGGTGTGTGAAGGTGGGTGGGTGTGTGAAGGTGGTTGGGTGTGTAAGGTGGGTGGGTGTGTGAGGTGGGTGGATGTGTGAAGGTGGGTGGATGTGTGAAAGGTGGGTGGGTGTGTGAAGGTTTGTGGATGTGTGAAGGTGGATGGGTGTGTGTGAAGGTGGGTGGGTGTGTGAAGGTTTGTGGATGTGTGAAGAGGGTGGATGGGCGTGTGAGAGGTGGATGGGTGTGTGAGTGGGTTGGTGTCTAGAGTGGGTGGGTGTGTGAGGTGGGTAAGTGTGTGAAGGTGGTGGTGTTAATGATGGGTGGGTGTGTGTGTGAAGGTGGGTGGAGTGTGAAGGTGGGTGGATGTGTGAAGGTGGGTGTGTGAAGGTTTGTGGATGTGTGAAGGTGGATGGGTGTGTGAAGGTGGGTGGGTGTGTGGAAGGTAGGTTCGTGTTAGAGGTGGGTGGGTGTGTGAAGGTGGGTGGATGTGTGAAGGTGGGTGGGTGTGTGAAGATGGTTGGTGTGTGAAGGTGGGTGGGTGTGTGGTGGGTTGGTGTGTAAGGGTGGGTGGGTGTGAAGGTGGGTGGGTGTGTGAGGTAGGTTGGTGTGTGTGAAGGTGGGTGGATGTGAAGGTGGGTAGGGTGTGAAGTTGGGTGTGAGTGTTGGGTGGGTGGATGTGTGAAGGTGGGTGGAAGTGTGAGGTGTGTGGATGTGTGAAGGTGGATGGGTGTGTGTGAAGGTGGGTTGGTGTTATGATGGGTGGGTGTGTGAAGGTGGGTGGAGTGTGAAGGTGGGTGGGATGTGTGAAGGTGGGTGGGTGTGTGAGAGGTGGGTTGGTGTGTGAGAGGTGGGTGGGTGTGGTGGGTGGATGTGTGAGAGGTGGGTCAGTGTGAAGGTTTGTGGATGTGTGAAGGTGGATGGGTGTGTGAGAAGATTGGGTGTGTGAGGGTTTGTAGATGTGTGTGAAGGTGGGTGGGTGTGTGAGGTGGATGGGTGTGTGAAGGTGGATGGGTGTGTGGGGTGGGTTGGTGTTAATGATGGGTGGGTGTGTGAAGGTGGGTGGATGTGTGAAGGTGGGTGGGTGTGTGAAGGTGGGTGGATGTGTGAAGGTGGGTGGATGTGTGAAGAGGTGGATGGGTGTGTGAGGTAGGTTGGTGTCTAATGTGGTGGGTGGTGAAGGTGGGTGGAGTGTGAAGGTGGGTGGATGTGTGAGGTGGGTGGAGTGTGTGATGGTGGGTTGGTGTCTGTGTGGGTGGGTGTGTGAAGATGGTTGGAGGTGTGAAGGTGGGTGGATGTGTGGAGGTGGGTGGGTGTGTGAAGGTTTGTGGATGTGAGAGGGTGGATGGGGTGTGTGAAGGTTGGTGGGCTGTGAAGGTGGATGGGTGTGTGAAGGTAGGTTGGGTGTTAATGATGGGTGGGCGTGTGAGAAGGTGGATGGGTGTGTGAAGGTGGTTGGTGTTATAGTGGGTGGGTGTGTGAGGTGGGTGGGTGTGTAGAGGTGGGTTGGTGTCTAATGGTGGGTGGGTGTGTGAAGGTGGGTGGATGTGTGAAGGTGGGTGGGTGTGTGAAGGTGGGTGGATGTGTGAGGTGGATGGGTGTGTGAAGGTGGGTTGGTGTGTAAAGGTGGGTGGATGTGTG